AGCAGAACTCTTTTTGAAATGTGAGTCAGACCTCCACTCAAAAACATGATACAGCAAATGCAGTTTATCAGTCACAAAAGACCAGTAATTGTTTTGAAGAAACTAATGCAACTGCAGCTGCATAAAACTAAGGAAACGCAGAGAGGAATGGGGATGTCGGGGGCGATGTGTACCAGAAGACGATTAGGAGCAGCAACAAAGTATTTTCTCAGTGCCAGAAGCCCTGGGAAAGTGCGCCTAACATGAAGACCTGTGTCAGTGCCAAGACGGGCAGGTGCGCGTGAGCTATCCGAGTGCAGATATTGAAACTAGGGCAAGGACGGGAGAGAGGGAAGATAATCTTAATGCAGAACGTGGCTTGCAGTAATGTAGCAAAGCAACTTTAATCCGTAAACACAGCGGTATTCTCACATAATAAGGGTCCGGTATATAAGAGAGGACGAAATATGAAATAAATAATCTTGCTTCACTACACACAAGGTTCGTGCCTTCAATCCCCATAGGGGTCTTGTTGCAAAGGACAAATTGATTTTCTTTCAGTATTTCACTAGTTTTAACTGGAGGAACACAATGGGAGAACACCCCACAGGTGGGAATTGGCCAGTCTGGGTGTCCTGAAAACTTGCAAAACAGAAGCAGTCAGGTACAACGGGAGTGCTACTGAGCATGCTCCTTTCACGCTGGTTAGGCCCCTTCTCCAAATTCTCAGCTCCCAGGAGGAAGGCCTAAAAAGAGGCAAGGGGCAGACCCTTCTGCAGATGTTTCAAAGTCCTCCTCAAGAGCCCCAGGGGAATAGGCCAGAGCATGACAAGGCATTCCTCAACTGCCTGCAAAGATACAACAGCAAAACAACCCTCAATGAAATGCTTTCTGTCTTTGGAGATAAACAACAGGCAGACAGATTTTCCAACAGATGTCAAATTGAATGTTGATGGGAATAAATAGAGACTTTGGGCAAAAATGGAGATTGTAAACAGGCTTCAGCTTTATGACTAATACTATGAGGTTTACTTACCAGGCATTTACTGTTGTATAACACAGTGAATGCTGTACTTTGCCCTGACACTTAACATTCTTGTCAAAATTTTCAGGGACATCAGTAAGAACAGGCATCATTGCTATCACCGGCCCCTTAACTTTCTGCCCCTGGAGCTGCTGACCACATCTTTGGAAGAATAGCAAAGATGCAGTGATTAAAGACAAGGCTGAAATCATGGGTACTGCAGATGCAGAGCGCAACAAATCATTAGCCGTAATTATGTCAGGAAGAAAGCATGCTTGAAAGAAGGAAGATTGCTTGCACTAGTGATTTTGTATGATCAGTGCACCTCTTCATTCACCGTAAACAAAACAAAACTAAATTTACTAATGATGCAAAAGAACGCAGCTGTTGGTGATGGGCTATGTTTTTTTGATCAATGCTTCCTTTCATTTCAGTTAAAATTTTGAACGTGGCTGCTTAAAAATGATTCTCCTATAATTTTGTGATCGTTCAAGTGCTTTAGGTTCTTTTTTTCCAAAGGACAGCTGTGTCGTTATCTTCTCGACTAATGTGTAGTAATGATAGTTCTCAGGTCTGAAACATAAGCTACTAAAGTGTGTCAGAAAGGAGATCAATTAGCATGACGTGATTTCTGACAAACACTTGTCCGTGGGTTTATGATTATGTCTTAACAGCTGGCAGTTTGAAAGGCTGGAAGTGTCTGAAGTGTGCTACTTTGACTGATAGTCAGACCAGTAACAAGGCAACAAGTTCATTTTGGACATTATACACCAGAATAAAGTATGCATACAGTCACACTGGACTTCTCTGGTTGTGTATTTCACACTTTTCTGTTGTTGACTTGGTTGCCTGTGTTCTGCAATCTGCTCAGCGATTTGTGCATAGTCATGACAAATTTACTACATACTACATAAATATGTTTATGTCTATATATATTAATAATCAAACATATAGCTATACAGACATTCAAATGATAAAGTCAACTCTTTTTCTTATGGAACTTTAAAAATATTTTCCAATTTAAAAAATACGTCGAAGGCCTTTCAGGGAAAAATACTTCAGCCGAAATACAAGTCTTCTGCTCAGTCCAGCAGACACTGGTTTATATTCTATGATCTGTGGTTTACAAAAGAAATGACTGTAATCTGCTAATTGAAACAAAATTTGGATGAATCTTACTTTCTACAGGTAGAATGGCCTAAATGTTTGGAGACTTTTGGACTAATGGGTGTTCACATTTGTAGATCTCCCCGAATGTTAGTAGCAAATGCGCAAGATGAAAGACATTGTTTTGTTTAGTTATCACAGTTTGTTTGGGGGTTGTTTTGTTTTTTAAGTAAATGCATTAAAATATGGAGCTTCTGGGAGAGCAAAACCACTCATAAATTTGGATCAAAATTCAATTAATAGAAGAGCTTGTATCAAAAAAGGATTTTTTTATATCAAAATATCAAACCATATTTTGGTTATTGAGTGAAATGTTTTAAATCAAACATGACACTGAAAAGATGCATTTTAATTTGTATGTAGTATCTTTAAACTATACTCAAATTAATAAAATAAAGGTTGTCTAAAACAAAAAAAATATTATTTTTCTTTTAAACGAACGTAGTTCTATCCAAAAATTCCCCCTCTTGTGGCTCTTTAAACAGCTGGAAATCTTACCCTTCAAAAACAGGGCCTGGGGTCTTTAAAAAATAAGAAAAGATAAATTAAAATGTATTTG